CGAGTCAGGCGATGAATGATATGTAGGCATATGTAAACAGTACGTGGCATTAAAAATGTGCCTCATACAATCGTTCCCGAATGAATGAAGACCTCACAAACATTTTATCCCTAGCCCTGGATTTAATTCCCATTCAACTCACCACAGAGCACACGTGAGCAAGCTTTTTTTGAAATGTGAAATATAGAGAGACTGAAGGATAAAAGGAATACTATCCAATCCCAAGGGTTGTGGTACAGTTTCTGTAAAAGAGATTTATATGGCTTCCAATGACTACACGGCGCTCTCATCGCTGTAATCTGTCAACCTCATGTGATTCAAGGGGTTTCACGTAGTTGGCAATCGTTTGCTCCATGTCGATAATTATCTACGCTCGTGCACACATTCAAGTTAAAGCTACCTCTTCATACTTAGCCTGAGTTCAGCAATTAAAAAAGATGAACACTAGGATTGATGAAGTAGACCACTCGGTGGATGAACTCTACACATACGGGCTAAGATGTCACTGCCACAAATCAAAAAACGCAAAGGAGTAGCGGTGTCAAACTCTTATTAAACGGAAGAAAAACGTTTTTGAACAATGAGTGAGAACAAGGGTCAAGGATATGACAAACTGCGCTAGGGAAAATGCTATATTTTTCACCCGAGCATGGTGGAGACATGAGATTTCTGCGAATCTAGAACGTAACCACTCGAACAAATATTGAGATGGTTTTTAATGCATGAGAGAAAAGCGGAAACGTGAAGAATATACTTTTTGATACATCTCTTCAGACATTTACATACTTCTGAACACACTGAATGGATGCCGCAGACAGTGATGCTAGTCAATATACTCGATTTATTTGTAAATCTAATGTAATTGCGTTTCCGTTTCTTTAGCCTGGTACTGCTTCTAGATTTTCACCTTTTGCTTCTACTTCTTCATCCCAATGGGCAGTCAAAAGAGAGCAATTGAAACCACCACAATGTTAACAGTTAACTAAATCAAAATGGATTGATCAGAAACAGGATCAATGAGTGTGTGGAGTTATGAAACCGGAAGAGTAGGATTTCCGTGTTTTTCAAACTGGGCTCGAAATAGAAACATTTGTCCTTTTTTCGTATGAGTACGAACATGCAAGTACAATCAACAGATTACACCGATTTTTGGCTCTAGACATATCATCCACCCAGATCCCAGAGCCGGGAATCACCTCAAAACTTAACTGGCAATCGGCGACGGAGAGACAGGAGTGTAATGCCACTGAGATAATGAAGAAAACATAACACACACAAGAGTTAGGCTACTTCAAACATTTAAGTAGTCTCAACACAGTATCACATTTTGACGCGAGAAATATCAAGTACATTTTGAGCAAACGTTGAAGCCAAATGAAAAAGCAGGAAGTGCAATAAAGTAGATGATAATCTTTAACGATAATAGTGTTGATTTTCAAAAAGCTGATGGGAACCGTTCAAATTACACTCCCAGTTTCTGAGCGCAAGAGTAAATTTAACAGAATATAACTAATGCATACTATCGTTCATGTGCAGCGGCTCTAAAGCGTACCAACGACTAACGACATGCTGAAAACAACTTAATATATCAGCACCAGTAAAATCCGGAAGGCTGTAGAAAACCCACATCATCAGGTGATATCACAGCATCCTAGACGATGAACAATTTCGTGAAACGTACCAGTACCAACAAACACGTGATCGCTGGATTTCATCTGCGCTTGTATGCGGTGCAACCAATCTGATTCACGAGGATCTAGTGTGTCCATTGAGCTTGAGGGGCGACTGCCACGATCGTAGACGCGGTTCAATAAGCACACCTGAAAACCAAGAACATTCATTTACTCACGATTTTTCCTATGGGTTTGAACTCTCAACAAACTGCCGTAAATGCTCTAGTGCATTTTTCCCATCCCGTGTACCCAAGTCACGGAACTCTCCTCTCCGAGGTATTTAAAACTCTCGACTACTTCTAGTCGATCACCACAAATAGTGAGTGCAAGCACAGGCACCCATCACATGTACGCCAAATTATTCCGACGCATCGACTAGATACGCTCCACTAATCTCGCTCTCGTGAGAAAAATAACAACAGTTTCCGAATTAGTATGAATTCTTACAGACCAGGACAAGTCTCCGAGTGAACTTTTAACGAAAATCGGGGTTTGACAACTCCGTTTCACTCATTTTTAACACCGATCTCTTTGCCTTTTCATTTTGGTTGTCCGAATTGATTTGATGTAGGTCAAAAACCCATACTGAATCCGATGAATACAAACAGGTAAGCGCTTTTCAACCATTAGTCGAAGGTCTATAAGACAAACAACGACATGACGTACCTCGTCTAGAAGACCAGCGCAAGTCTTCACTGACGTCAGAAGAGAACTGTTGTCATGGCTTTCACTGATAGACAAAGCGTCGCACTGCAAACCTTCAGAAAACAGCTCCTCTTGTATGCTGTTCACAGCAATGCGCATAAATGCCTGGTGTAGACGCTCATTTGCATAATTGATACAAAACTGTTCAAATCCGTTTTCTTCCAGGATTTCGAAACCAAATAAATCCAGTATACCTGACGCGTTAAACAAAATTAAGAATTAGAAAAATTCTTGACAAACTTTCGTAGAGAAACGTAAGTAATGAGAACTGCGGGTAGAAGGAACAGATAACTGTTGGAAGCATGAAATCATGCCCATGATTTATCCAAGTCGTTTTTCATCCCACTGGGACAGAAATTGCACTTAATGAACCATTATCTAAAGAGGTTCAGGGACGTATTGTATCCACAACAGAAACAATCCCAATCGGGCTAACTGACCCCCAACATGGGATCGGAAACAATTAGTGAAGCCTGTTTCGATCATCGAAGAATTCTCNACTCAGCCATCACCAACGATTCAGCAAAGAAACTGATGCCAGCTGCTTTGAACACGACTTGTCTGACCCTACCCCTAACAAGTAGCTGTTTACGGTGTTCGTTCCCATTCTCGATCCCCGAGAGAGACAGAGAAATGTTGTTGTCGGTGTGTTCTCCGAGTTGGAAGTGATGTTTTCAAACGTTTCGTAGCCAGGTTAGGCAACACAATCAGTGCAAATTCCTCAATGTGACCGCGATTATATATATCTGTTCAAGATAGTATTTGTCACAGTCTCGACATTATGTCGGTCAAACCAGCACAAAACTCAAGACACGACTAAACGAACACACACTGTCAGTCAAAAGACGCGAGGAGAAGTCGTAAATCTGAATCCACATGGATTCTGAGAATCACGTCTTCGAACTGGACAACGCAAAAATAATCGGAAGAGGAACCACAAAGTCAATACGCGGATTCACCGAAGCCTGAAACTCCAGAAGGGACGGCATAAACAACCATATAGAACTGGAACCCATCTATCTAAGGAAACACTGGTGATCCGAAACTGCTCCAGAAAAAACTGACCAAGAACCAGTTCCAACCAGTTTGAAACCGGTTCAAACCGGTATACGGTTGGTGCAAAGGGAAAGAAGGGGCAACGACGGACAATCAAATCACAGCCGGTGGTCATAATTGACCAATACGACTGAAGGGACGAAATTGGGCTAATCAAAACCCTCGAACAGGACCAGATAAGGGTTACATTGAAATAAATGGTATAATAATTTTCTTCTCACGTGTTTCACTGTAAGCTTTTTGAAATTTTTGTGTCACTGCATCATTCTTTTTATGGGGCACGGGACTGCAACAGGCAGACCGTACAGCATTCTCATCACTGACTTCTATTCTGGGCGTTGGATCTCTCAGGAGTCAGTAATCCTAATGGATCAAAAACGAAAGATCCCAATCTGCCAGGACCAGCACAAGGACCGGTGTCGTCTGCAACGTCAACTCAGAAATAGCCTTAAGAAAGATCGTGAAAATTGGTGGGCCGAAATAGCTAGTGAAATGGAGGTAGCTTCTGCATCAGGGAATAGTCAAAGACTATTTCACCTGATACGCAGCACCGGAGGTCGTCGCATGCCGGTCAGTGAGATCATTTGCGATAAAAGTGGACAAATCATCCACAATAAATAACAACGACTTGATCGCTGGGCAGAGTATTTTAGTGAACAGTTCAATTGGCCTAGTGCTAATGTGGTCATTCCAGCAATTGCGGCGGAAACTCCATGGGTGGTGACATGTGAGCCCCTCATCAGAATCGGAAGTACTAAGTTGCATTCAATCATTAAAGAAA